ATACGTGCTGGTTGCCACTCTTCGCTGAATTCTGGATTTCTAGTTCGTCGGGTTGTACCGATATACGTACGAAACTTAATTACCACAGTGTGGTAAACCAGGATCCGTGTGAAATTTCACCCAACACCTCCCCCTTGAAGTTTGTTGACATAGCTTTGAAGCCGAGGGTTCCCTTGAGGTGGCCCCACTGGCTTACGGATCCTGTCTGTTGTGGTGTTTTGGCCTTTACTTTGCTTCCATTACAACATTACGCATTTTGTCAGTTGCATAATCGTTTTCTGTTTGAATAGGAAAAACTACAAAAACGCGCACTTGTACAATTTCGCGCAATACAAACGTGGTCAACCGCTCCTATACTCCTGAACACGCTCGCGCTCACAGCGATCATTGGGGAGTCTCATGTGCTGAGTTTGGTATCAAAACACCTGAGACTATCCTCGGAATTTATTATATGTGATAACTGTTCAGAAGAAGACCCCTGGAGAAACTGTGTTAGGATCATTGTTTATTCCCTGACCTGGGCCAACGAGGAACTATTGTGAAGATAATTATTAGTGAGTCTGTTCCATCTGAATTATCCATATGTCAAAAGGTGGCTCTACACAGCCCTCTATGGAGACAAAGGAAAATCATTACAACTGTGTATACAGGGTAGTCAGAGAGTGTTCCACACCACAATGCCAGAATGTCCGTGAGGGGGCAAGAAGCCGAGTCAAGGTGCTTGACTCGGATTAGCTGGCACTCTTCGTGCCTTCTTTTGGCCCGTGTCCCGCACATGACACATCCGTCCAAATGACGTGCTGTTCGGTTATTAGGGACGGCTGGCCTCTTAACACATCCTCCTTGAAAGGCTGTCCAGCCGACTACTGCTTTGGACTCCACTGTGATGACTCATGTAGTTGCTGTCGCATTTAAATCCGTCGCTGAGGCTGTACGCATGCCGATCTGGGATCTGGTACCATCCACTTGGGAGGCAGATCATGGCTGTCCGGTGTCCCATTACACGTGCTGCCCTCACTGAGCCACAGTCTGTTGACTGAAGTTGGTTCACATGACGCGGCTGTGCTGATGTTCTTACGTGTGCCTCGTGTTTGACATCGTCGACCCTGCGTCCACCGTGGAGAGCATTCCTCATATATTTGAATCGGTGGCTGGTCTCTGTGTGACTGTTGTGGCGTCCCTTCTGCCGGCCCCACTTCCTTGACTTTCCGGATAGCAGTAGGACGATCCGCCTGAACCTGCGACTGTAAACTGAACGGTTCAGATCGCGGGTGAAACGTTGCGGGCTGCTGGGAGGGTTCACCAAATTGCACTGAGGTGAGAGGGCTACCGCTGCCGGACGCCAGAAGCTGAATAGTCGCTGTGTCGCGTATGCTCCATCTGGTCTCCGGTTTGGCTGCAACTGTAGCGACCACAAAATCGTCAGGACGTGATGTTCTCGTGAACGTATCGGGGCCGTTTGCAGTTGTTTCGTCACAAACGGCATTGAGGGGTTCATCCAACAGTTGAAGCTCGTTAATCCAATCCAGGCCCAAGAGATCAAGGCCTGTGTAGTTCGTGACGTAACAAGTGCCACTGAGATGAATTCCCTTGAACGTTACGGAACAGTTCAGCTTCCCGGTCAGTTTGAGGCTTCCACCAGATGCATTACGAACGATGCACTTTGTGGGTTCCACTGGTGGCCTTCCAACTTCGTTCCAGGTTCGTTTTGAAATCAGAGTGAGGTCAGAACCTGTATCCAGTTGGAGAGTAACTGGTGTGCCATTGATACATAATGTGACAAATTTACGTCGACCAGGTGATTTCATCCTGAACGTGGCGGTCACAGCCTCTGCCTGCGTCCTTTTGTCGGGTCGGTGTTTGCGCGAGCTCCTGAAGTCGTCTCTGCAGCATTCTTCTTTGTGACCCTTTCGACTGCACTTACTGCACCTGTGGGTCCGGTAGGGACAGTGGCGTGAATAGTGCCATTCTTCACAAAACCAACAGGGTGTGGGCGGTTTTCTTGGAGTTCGTTTTGAACTTGACTTCCTTTTGGAAGTTACTTTGCATACCATATCAGGCTGAGAGAATTTGGAATGTCCAATCATTGCAGCATCGGCCTTGAGATTGATAAGATGCTGGCATTCGGTGGTAAGTTTCTGAAGCGTCAACACTGGATCCTGTTCAATTCGATTCAGTAGCCGGGTCCGAATATCTGCATCGTGTGGTGATTGAAGACCAGCCACAAAGATGAGACACTTGAATTGATCCTCGGTCATGGAGCTGAGCTGAAAGCGCTCGCATTCTCTGTTGACCACACCGGCATATGTGATGAAATCCTCAGTATCCCTTTTGGTAATCTTGAGACACTGATAACGAATATTGAACAAGGAACTTTGCTCACCGAATATTTGGGCCAGAATTTTGACAGCATCTGCGAAACCAAGGTCACGAGGGAGTTTGGGTCTAGGTTGACGTACTCGGGGAACGGTCTGAAGTGAGCCTCATATGGTGGTTGTAGGTCCACGTGGGTAATGCGGGAGAGGGTGCGCTGAGCCACCTGTGAAATGACGAGTGCCCTATGGGCCGATTCTTCATGGTGCAGAGAGAAGAACATGTTTGAAGGGAGCCAGATAATCAATTCCTTTTTGGCGGTCCTGGTCCTTTCTCACCATGGATGACGAAGTCATTCGCTGAGTCTCGTCCAAATGATATATGGACGAGCTTTTCGTCATTCAGAGGAAGTTGTCAGTCCGTCGGCCGCTGCCTTGCAGCAGCAATATGGCGGGCACTGATATTGGAACTCCAAGATTTCAAGTAGCCCGCAAAAGTAAACACGGACTTTCAAGAAAATCTGAAAAATTGCGGACGTGTATAAGAAACAGAAGTGGTCCTAAAACGAGGTCTTGCAGAGCGCTAGTGGAGACTGGCGCTGGGGGTGAGTGGGAGCAACAGACCTTCACCCGGGATGACCTGTCTGATAGGAACCCCTTAATCCAGTGAAGGATTTTCCCTTGAATATCGTAAGACTCGAGCTTGCGGAGCAGTGGGAGGTGTGAAACTCAATCCAATGCTTTTGATAAGTTGCATTGTCTGTAATCCGTTGTCACATTTTATTTACCATTTCCTGGACCTAACCTACATTTTGTTACGTTTATACCTATTTTATCATGTTTGTTTTATTGGAACAATAATTACATAGAAAAGTGATGCAATGTACAAATTTTCGTCTCGACCTTCTGACTTCTTGCTGAATAAGTGGATTTACGTTTTGTTGAACTGTTTGCTAACTGCTGAACCAGTGGGACTATACCTCTTTGTTTATGTGAACTGTTGAACGTCACAATAACTCACTGGGTCATTTTTATCTGTGAATAACTTTCTTATCGTGGAATATACTACTCACGCGTGAATCATGATTGGAAATTTTCCACAAGTGGATATTTCCTTCACAGCCGGTTGCCGC